CTTCCATGTCAGCTCACTCCACCACATTAGCACAGAAGTTTCCAGAGTAACTTTTCAAATGATGACATAAGGAACTGAAGAATTTGATTTCTATGCAAAGATCATAAAATCAAAAAGAAAAAGAATCCTAAAGGGAGGGACTTTTTTAACACCAATCAAAGTGTACAATGGGATTCTAGGAAACAGGTTCTTTCACAAGGTCCCAGTGTGTGCATGTATTCATATTTCCAGAGGGCAAACTTATCAATATGTATGTCTTCTTGTTAAGATTTTTATTTACTTCAAAGACAAAGTGGCAGAGACAGAGAGAGAAAGCAATCTTCCATCCACTAGTTTACCTGCCAAACAGCCGAATACTGGGGCTGAGCCAGGCCAAGCCAGAAACCCTGCTCCATATGGGTCTCCCATGTGAGCAGCAAGGGCCCAAGCACTTGAGCCATCTTCTGCTACTTTCCAGGTGCATTAGCAGGCAGCTGAACCAGGAGTGAGCAGCTGGGACTTGAACCAGCACTCCAATATGGAATGTTGGTGTTGCAAGTGGCAGCTTAAACCACTGAGCCACAACAGTACCCCAAACATATCAGTCTTTATGATTTTATATACTTATTTTTTTTGACAGGCAGAGTTAGACAGTGAGAGAGAGAGAGACAAAGGTCTTCCTTCCGTTGGTTCACCCCTCAAATGGCCGCTACAGCTGGTGCACTGCGCCTATCTGAAGACAGGAACCAGGCGCCTCCTCCTGATCTCCCAAGCAGGTACAGGGCCCAAGCACTTGGGCCATCCTCCACTGCCTTCCTGGGCCACAGCAGAGAGCTAGACTGGAAGAGGAGCAACCAGGACAGAATCTGGCACCCCAACCAGGACTAGAACCTGGGGTGCTGGCACCTCAGGCAGAGGATTAGCCAAGTGAGCCGTGGCACCGGCCTGATTTTATATACCTTTGATCCAGAATTCTACTTCCATGAATTTATTCTAAAGGAAAGATCATTAACACATATAAATACTTGAAGGATGCAAATTTCTGTATTTTTTTATAATAGCAAAGAGGCTGAAAATAACCCAAGTATCAAATAGCAGATGGTCAATTCATCCTTATTTTTAACTTTGTCTGAACCAAAATAATTATCAAGTGAACAAAAAGACAAGACACAGATTCACTGAGAAAGCTATTTATTTATTCATAATGCCAGGCATTGTGCTAGGAGTTGAAATACATGAGTGATGAGGATACAAAGGCATGCAGTCTATTGGGGGAATAAACCAAACAATGAGAGTTCATCATGACAAATTCTAATAAGAAAGCTAGGTTCACATCCTTCGATACAATAGAGCCTCGGCTGACCTAATGAGAATGTGGAAGCAGGGTTTTGGCTTTGCTTTTTGAGTAAGTGATATACAAGTTGTGAATGCTGCTCATTGGAAATGGTTGCCTCTCTGTGACTGGAATGTGAGGGTGTGCTAACTTTTTGTAAGAATCTTCAACAAAGATCTGCTTTCTCCTTTCCCTTTCATTGAATTTTTTTGAATGTATTGTGCTTGTTTAAGGTATATAACATAATGTTGTAAGACACATGTATGGAATAAAAAGGGTGATATGTTGACTGCATTCAGACCAAGAGTGGAGCACAGGTGAATGGCAGAGCCTGCGTCCTTCTACCAAGAGGAAGAAAGCTACTGGCTGACCAGGAACATTTACCTTGGAGTTGTTATCATGTGATCAAGAAGTAATTTCTACATGTTAAATCACTGAAATGTTGCTGTTTGCTTGTCACTATAGTCAGCAATATGCTAGCTACAACATTATTTCTTTATTAGCTAACTTACTCAAATATACACAGTAAGCCTGTTCTATGTACAAATAAATGCACCATGTGACAAATACAAATAAATGTTCTGCCTTGATTTAATTTCCAATGCAGACTGAAAAACAGTAGCCTTATAATATAGAACATATGAGAGTAATGGAGATGTTACTTTCAGGTAGAGGTTCATAAAGACTTGGAAGACACTAGAAAATGACATTTAAATAGGATTCAAACAAACAGAAATGTGGATAGAGGCATTCTAGGAAAAGAGATAGGAAAGATGTCATGGAAAATGAAATATAAGTGGAGAAAGGGGATTGGACCAGGGTATTTCCAAGAATTAATGAAATAAGATTGGAGATTACAGACAAATCTGAATGCTGGGCAAAGTGCTTTGTATTTTCAACTTTGTGCAATGGGTAGCCACTGAAGGTTTTTGAAGAGATGTGTGGCACATACTCATAGCTACACTTCAGGAAGATTAATCTGGCAGGGACTGGAGACAAGGAGAGGAATTAAAGGGCTATTATAATAGTCCAGCGGTTTTAAATTAGAGTAGCAGCAGTGAGAACGCAAGACTGATGATTGAATTTGGAAGGTTTGACAACGGAAAACGAGTCAAAGATAGCTGAGATTATGAACTGGGATGACTAAGGGAATTACAGAACCATAAATTACAATTCAAAGAGAACAGGCTAGTCTGGGGCTGGAGGGCAAGGAGGAGCCTGATTTTGAATAAAATGAGTAGAGGACATCAATGAGATACATAACCTGGACCCAAGGAGCAGAAATTAAGGGCTACAAATGTGGTCTGGAGACGAAAGTGTGGGGCGTTATCTATCTACAGGGAGAATGAAGGCCAGAGGCTGCTTTCCAGACGGTAAAGGAGATCTGAGAGAATGAAGAAAGCCAGAGATCTCCTTTACAGCAGGAAGACAGGGAAAGGGGGTGACTTGGAAGGCAGATGGTCCAGAGGAACAAGCATCATGGTAAGGTTGGACCATGTCCAGTTCCACAGGAGTCAGTAGAGAAAGGAATTAACACCTGTAATACCAAATATATGATCTCACTTAATTCCCAAACGATCCAGTGAAACACAGCTCCTGGTCAGTGACTGAGCACACAAAGAACACAGTACACTGAGCCTGCATTCTGACCTTGACTCTGCCCTTCATCCTTCAATAGCTCTGCATAACCAGAGCATCCTGAAGAAAATAGTGCCTCTGACTCTCATGGGGTTTGTGGGGGTTAAATTTTAAAATGCATGTAAACTGTTCAGCATAGCACTTAGTATGTGATACTCAGGAAGAGGAAGCTAATGTTTAAATAATAACGAAGTTTTTTCTCACCACAGCCTACTGATGAAAAGGTTAATCAGGAAAAATCTATCACACTGTTTAAATTGACATACATCTAATTTAGCAATTCTCCCTCAGAACTGTACCCATGTGTAAGAATGTTCATTGTTGGGGCCGACGCTGTGGTGTAGTAGGTTAAGCCTCTGCCTGTGGCACCAGCATCCCATATGAGTGCCAGTTTGTGTTCTGGATGCTCTTTTTCTGATTCAGTTCTCTGCTATGGCCTGAGACAGCAGTAGTGCTTGGGCCCCTGCACTCTCATGGGAGACCCAAAGAAGCTCTTGGCTCCTGATCAGCCCAGCTCCGACCATTGTAGCCGTTTGAGTGAACCAGCAGATGGAAGATCTTTCTCTGTCTCTTCCTTTCTCTAACGCTACTTCTCAAAAAAATCTTTAAAAAATGTTCATATAGTGTTCATAAAAACTGGAACCAATCTCAATGAAACTATTATATTTCTACAGTGAAATACTCAGTTTAGACCTAAATAAACTGATTCAAAAGTGTTCTTTGTATCTTAGTTTTAAGAAGCAATTTCTTAAAACAATCAATGTATGATTCTATTCATGACCGAAAAAGTAAAGGAAAACAGGATGAGCACGAAACAGGGTTAAAAACGGTTGGGGCTGGTGCTGTGGCATAGTGGGTAAAACTGCTGCCTATGACGCCAGCATCCCATATGGGCATCGGTTTTTGTCCTGGCTACTCCACTTCCTATCCAGCTCCCTGCTAATGGCCTGGGAAAAGCAGCAAAAGATGGCCCAAATATTTGAACACTGCCACCCATGTGGGAGACTCAGATGAGGTTCCTGGCCCAGCCCTGGCTGTTGCAGCCATCTGAAGAATGAACCAGTGGATGAAAGATCTCTGTCTCTCCCTCTCTCTGACTTTTAAATAAATAAGTAAATCTTAAAAAAAAAAAAAAAATTCAGGGCTGTGTGTGTATATATATATATACATATTATATATACATATATATAGTAGGAAATAAACACAATATACTGCTGTGCTGTTTCATAAGTATTAATGCATTATAATGTAATTTCAAAAAGGAATAACTTAAAGGGGAATGTTAAATATTTTTGACGAAACACCATTGTAACAGGAAATTTTAGCAACATACATAAAAAGCCAGTAAAGATGTGGAGCAAGGATTCTTGTGCTTCCTAAAATTGCCTGCAAAACTGTTTTGCATTTCTCTAAAGGCTCTAGTTTTCTGGAATCCCCATTCCATAGAACACACCACCCCACTGACCTTATGTACATATTTTCTAGTAGTTTCAACCCCTAGTGAGAAAAGTTAACACAAAATCCAGGTGAATCAGAAATGGCACAAAGCAAAACTGGTGATGAAGACAGGATTAAAACAATCCAATTAATAGGGTTGGCCTCCCAGGTCCTGTCCATCCGGCTGGGCGCAAATGCGGAAGAAAGGAGGAGAGTCAACACAAACACACCCCTTTCAAGGTTAAGTCTGGGGAGGGTTAGAGCAGCCACCTGTGAGGGGGTGTCTGTCCGTCCACTTGAGGGATGGATGTGTGTGGTTGCAGGAGCCAGAACCCAAGCAGTGTGCAGAGAAAACCCACATCCGGCAGGCAGGCCTCCTCCCCTGGGGTTCAGCAGTGTCATCTCCGTCACTAGACCCCGCACATGACGGCCTTGCTCTGGTCCTCATGCCAGGCCTTGGTGCCAGCTCCCCTTACCAGGTGTGTCCAGAGAATCCTTGGAGTCACCCACCTACCTCTCCAGGCCTCCGTTTCCTCTTCTTGGGAGAAGGCCCCACCTCCCTCCCAGCCCTGCCTGGGCAAGGTCCCCAGCCTGCCCGGCCACCCTCACTCACTGTCCCTGCAGTTCCAACGAGGAGAGGATGGGCTTCTTCGTGTGGCTGGCCTGCGGCAGCAAGATCCGCGACTCTGGCAGCTTTGGCAGAGGGAGCAGTGGGGGCAGCGGGCAGCGCGGGAGCCAGCGGCGGCCCAGCACCAACCCGAGCCCCTGCCCCAGCCTGGCTGCGTCGCAGTGTTGGCCGCGGCAGCGAGCATGCTCCGTGGCCGGCAGCCCGGCGACGCTCTCTCGAGCGGTGCGCCGCCCGGCCCAGCCCCGCGGCTCCGGCCGCTGTGGCCCCGTGCGTCCGCCCGTTGCTAGGTGCCAGAGAGGGGCCAAGCCAGCGGCCACAGTGCAGTGGGGAAGGGACCCCGTTCTGGGTGCGGGCAGGGCTGGGAAGCCCTCGTCTGTGCTGTGGAGCTGCTGTCGACCCATGGTGACCAGGCAAGGGGGAGCCCTAAGGTACAAAGCGCCTGTGGTTGGTACAGTGTGGGCAGGGGGCAAAGTCGGTGTACTTGTTTTCTGTCTCGTGTGTGCATCAGCTTGTATCAAGGACTCCTTTTCAAAGCAACCAGGCTTTTCAGAGTAACAAAGTCTGGACCGTTCAACACCAGGCAACACCCGACCCACACAGTTTTAGCGACAAGACCGAATTCTTGTCCCAGTTCCATGTTCCATGTTGTTAAAAGGTTGGGTGTGTCCCCTCCGTGGCTTGGATGGGATCTTAGCACCAGTACTTAATCATCTCCATGTACTTCAAAGGCAGCACCAGAAATCCTTCCATCTGCTGGTTCAGTTCCTGACTGCCCACGAGAGCTGGGCAAGGGAGGAGCTAGGAACTAGGAACTGCATCAGGGCCTTCCATGAGGGTGGCAGGGGACCAAGCACTTCAGCCATCATCACCTCCCAGAGTGCACCAGCAGCTGAATCGTGAGTAGGGCTGGGGAGCAAGAGGACTAGAACTGGCACTCATGCGATGTATGCCCCAAGCAGTGGCTCAACCCACTGGGACCATTCTGCTGATCACTTAGTGACAGTTCTCATCACTTTAGTTTCTTTCAAAGACATGTGTCCCATCTACTGGTTCACTCCCCAAATGCCTGCAACCTAGTTAGACCAGGCAGGAAGCTGGGAACTTAATCTGGGTCTCCTAGGTGATGGCAGTCACCATCTGTTGCCTCGCAGGGTACACATGAGCAGGAAGCTGGAAAAGGTGGGGCAGCTGGGACTTGGGACTTCAACAGAGGCGCTGACATGCGACACGTGTCCCAAGCATGGCTTAACCACTGTTAGGGGCAAACATCTGCTCCTATCAAATTATGTTCTAATACTGTCATCTCTGGATGCCCAACTGGAGTTGCAAGCTTAGCTCTGGTAAGATTCAGATCCCACCAAAAAAAAATCCTCAAACAGCTCAACACTTTCCCAGATTTTCATTTAGATGATATTAACTCTTCCAAGCTGCTCTGGTTAAGAAAACCAACTCAAATTAGACCTGGTATTTATTACTGGCTCACTTTCTGTTGTGATCCTGGAGTAGGGAGAGCTAACCTCTCATTGAATAAAAATCGGGATCAGTGAGAGCTAAAGGCTGTGCATTAAAAAAAGAAAGAAAAAAAAAAACAAACTTGGAAGTGTTAAGTCTAGGGCCCATGCAAGACCAATTATAAATTCAATTCTGGGGTTGCAGTCAAAATACACGCCTCAATTTGAAGTCTTCCAAAATCATGTGTGTACCTCATAAATTTCCATGCCAGGCCCTATTCCTCCTCTAACCGCACCCCACTACCACAATGCAGGAGACACTACTCCCTAGTGCTACAAGAGGCTGAGACTTAAGCCTTACATTGCACAATAACGGAAGTTCCAAATAGCAAAAAATGCTATTATCTAAAAAACGTTATGTAGAGAGGTGTCAGGAAAAACCTTTTGTCCAAAATGAAAAATCAGCATAGAGACCTGAGGGCTGTACATTCCACATGTAGATTAAAAGTGATCACAAGCATGAGACCTGCATAGAAGATTGCCACTTTTGAAGAATATAGCCAGAGCCAAAGGTGAAAGATCAAACGGCTTTCCCAAAGATTTCCATGCCCTAGTTTTTCTTAAAAATAAGATAAACATAAAATATCATTTGAAAGGCAGTCATAACCAGAGGCAAAGTTCTTCCATGTGGGTTCACTCTCCAAATGGCCACTACTGAGCCAATCCGAAGCCAGGAGCTTCCTCCAGGTCTCCCATGCGGGTGCAGGAGCCCAAGGACTTGAGCCACTTTCCGCTGCTTTCCTAGGCACATTAGCAGGGAGCTGGATTCTAAGTGGAGCAACCAGGACTAGAACTGGTGCCCATATGGGATGCTGGCACTACAGGTGCTAGCTTCACCCACTGTTACAGCACCAGCCCCTCCATGCCCTAATTCTTAAAATCTGTTAACATTACCTTAGGTAACAACTAAAGGAAATCTACAGGTGAGTTTAAATAATTTTAGAGGGAATACCCAGGTGGCCCAATATAATCTCAAGGATCCATGTTTAAAAGGCAGGAAGATTAGAGTTCACGATGGAAGCAGAGACTGAGTTTGAAATGAAGTCTGGATTGGTGAAGCTGACTGGGTTTCTGACCTCCAGAATTGTTAAGACAATACACTTGGCCTTGCTTGTGGTTCTCCCATTACTGCAGCAGTAGGAAGCACACACTTGTATAACAGATACTGAGTAATCCCTATATGCCAGGTCCTCAGGGGTGGTTAGTAGGCTTCACCTTAAAAAGTTTATCCAACAGGAAGAACATGTTTTACTGTTTTGACACAAAATCTGTCACAGAACACTGGGAACAAAAAGCAGCCAATCCTGTGGAAGTAGGTCCCCAAAGACACCCCAAGATTTTCACATTCTATCTCTACAGCGCTCACTTGTTTTTGTGTTGTCTTGCCTAAGACTGACACAAAAACAGGACATTTTATTGTTTGCTACTATATGCTCACAGTTTAAATCACATTTGAGCCAGGCACTGCTCTAAGCCTTTCATATGACTTTAAACACTTAATCTACATAAGAAGCTGATATTAGATGTAATGACTTCCTCCATTTTGCTGACAAGGAAATGAAGATTAACTTATTGGCTCAAACTATTAAGTGCATCCTGGACAAGAAACAAAACAGGTGCTGACACTGTGGAACAGATCAATAACCCACTACCTGCAATGCACGCACCCCATACAGCAGCACTGGCTTAGGCCCTGGCCAGCCTCTCCACTTCCAATCCCAGCTCCCTACTAATGCTGCCTGGAAAAGCAATGGAATATAGCTTGGACCCCTGCCACGATGTGGGAGACCTAGATGGAATTCTAGGGTCCTGGCTTCAAAACCAGAACTCTTACCTGAGGCCAACTACAACTTAAAATTTCAAGATAGACAACACTGAAATAGGGCTATTAAACGTTGCAATTTTCAAGGAGTACACATGAAGTAATTATGAGCTAATTATTTTGTAGAAAGAGAGCCTTGTAAGCACCCAAACTCAAAGGCTGGCTTGGGCCTTCCAGTGGTCCCATGCAAGCAATGGGACCTGTGCTGTGGTGTAACAGGTAAAGCCGCTGCCTGCAGTGCCAGCATCCCAGACACCAGTTAAGAGTCCCAGCAGCTCCTCTTCGGATCCCACTCTGTGTTATGGCCTGGGAAAGCACAAGATGGCCCAAATCCTTGGGCTCTTCTACCCATGTGGGGACCCCGGAAGAGGCTCCTGAGCGTAGCTCTGGCATTTGTACCCATTTGGAGAGTCAATCAGCAGATGGAAGACCTCTAACTCCGCCTTTCAAATAAGATAAATCAATCTTCAAAAAAAGTGGTTTTCTCTGTAAAACGTTAACTTGCTTTACATTCCTACAGCTATTTCTAATCTGCTGACTCCTGCTCCAACTTCTCCCTAAGAAAAGAGACACTGTGCCGTTTTCCCCATGGATCACCTCTTCCTCAAAGTGCCTAGGTATTCTAGTTCTCCAGTCCAATCCTGGATCCGTGCACTCTCCCACATTTACTCACCCTTAAGCCCTACTTGGAAGGATTTGCAGTCAATACGCTTTGTCCATTTCTTCATCCTAGACAGCCTACAGAAGCTTTGCTACTTCTGGGTTTCAGCACAGGCTCACCAACTTAACAAATGTACCACAGCAGCGCTGCTGGGAAAGCCAGGCGTCAGCAGCAGAAGGTTGCTTGCACAGAGTATGTGCAAGTACTCACAGAGTACTCACTACTCTAGTTTGCTGCGAACCTAGAACTGCCTAAAGAAATTATTTTGCTAAATACCACTGCCTGGGTACACAGGGCCACTTCTATATTGTTTCTATCCCAGTGATATCTTTTAACATTTTATTCATCCAGCCCAACCACAGCTACAGTTAGCATTATGCCAACTGTGTAACTATTCCATACTAGCTGTTTTTAATTCTGATCTCCCAAAGGCCACTGAAGGCACTCATCATTCCTCTGAAACATGGAAGCCAAACAGATTAATACCTTATGAGCTATAAATACCTTTCAGTACACTAAATGTGTAATGACTACTTTCTTTAAAATCTGCAAAGTAAAAAAATGGGAAATTTCAAACCTTGAGCTCTTTGGCTCCACTTAAAGAGATCCATGTACTATGTATTTACTGACCCAACAGCGCAGCCAATAAATTCCTGACAAAACACAGCACACTTACACAGGCATTTAACACGACTTTACAGAATTCACTGATGAAACACACTAACCCAGAAAACAGCTTCAAAGACCAGGAATAAAGAATGTAAAGAAATTCCTAAATGTATTTAGCAATTTCCACTCTTCACAATTCATTTGAGCCACAGCATAACCAACGAAGGATCACAAGAATTATTCCATTGTATGAACTACCCGTTACACTCAGCACTTCAAAATTTTCAGTTCACCAGTATAGGTGAAATACATAAATAACATGCATGATTGTTACTTATAAAATATCAGCTTCCTAGTTCAAGTCTGTGCTCGGTAATCCCAGCATGAATGTTTAAGATGTTCCAAATCATTGACTTCTGTGAATCTAAACGTTTCTTCCCTCATAACATTTACAATATGTAACGGAATTCCTAACAGCTCACCTAAACATGGACAAAAGATGCAAAACAAGAAAAAAATAGAGGGGGCTGGTGCCGTGGCGCAGTAGGTTAATCCTGCAGCGCTGGCATCCCATATGGGCACCAGGTACTAGTCCCGGTTGTTGTTCTTCCAGTCCAGCTCTCTGCTGTGGCCTGGGGAAGCAGAGGAGGATGGCCCCACATGGGAGACCACGAAGCACCTGGCTCCTGGCTTCAGTTCGGCGCAGCTCCATCCATCACAGCCATTTGGGGAGTGAACCAATGGAAGACCTTTCTATCTATAATTCTGTCAAATAAATTCAAAAGCAAAAAAAAAAAAAAAAAACAAATAAACAAACAAACAAAAAAAAACAGAACAGGAACGGAAAATAACACATTCATGCAGGCGTTTACGAAGCTATTGTTTCTGTAAATGTTGACTTTTATTGCCTTACCTACAAATTATGTACAAATGCCTCTAAGACAAGTTTCCCTTCTGACTTACAGCCTAATTCAAAGGTGAAAAATTAAACTTTTTTAATAGACAAAAAACTCAAGGTTTTTGACACAATACAAAGTGTACCCTGGTTTTGCAAGTGAGGGACTGCTAGTTTAATTCTACCACACACCACGATTTGCCACAATAGTTAAGGGAAGACAAAGGCAGGCTGACAAAGTCACCAATACAACAGTTTATTTCAATTTGACTGTAGTTGCCGTTTATTATCTGACCAGATTACAAAAATACCATAGGAGACACCTGAAAGAAGGGGAAAAAAAAACATCTATTAACACCCTAGCATCTAAGAATTAGTAGTTAGGAAGGAACAAACTAGCTTACGTTTTTAAATTTACCCACTTTGTTTTAAAAAGGGCTTCCCTCCCCCTGCAGAAATGTCCTCAAGGAGAAAAAAGAACTAAACGACCTGTAATCAAAAGAGCTGATTTCCTCTCCCTCCATCCCCAGAAACTACTGATCAGCTCCACATACTCCACACAATATACATATATACACACATATATAGAATCAAATCAAGACTCCCACTTTTCCCTATTATGAAGGTCATTTCTCTCTGGGTGCAGTATCTCACCTTAGTTCATCCTTCTAATAAGTCTGTTGATTTGGTCTTCCCTGTTGCCAGCATCCCCACCCTCTACAAAATGGGTGGTCTTTTTCTTCATCCCACCTCGGGGAGAAGATAACTTGAAGGGCCACAGGAAGTTATTTGCTTCCTTGAAGTGTTTCCCCACAGTATAGATCTCATGAATCAGATCCTCCATGCAGATGATATTGTATTTACCTGAAATTTCCAAGGTACTCAAGGTTATTCAAGCTTGAAAAGATCTTAAGGCATCCAAAAAAAACCACACATCTTTAGGCTGTGAGATAAAAGCTAATCAATAATATTAAACTATACAAAAGACAGTAAATAGAGAAATACATGGCTTTACTCACAAGTCAACAAAATCCTAAGTAAAATTTTCTTAGACTTAACTAAGGATTGTAGAGACAATATTTAGATTCCTAATGCTGAGAAATGTAGTTCCACAAGAAAACAGAAAATAATCACCTTTCTTAATACCAAACTTCCCCCCAAACACAGAACACCTACCAAGAGAGCGGGCAATCAGAGTGTTATCTGTCAAAGCAATTCGCTTCTTATTGATTTTGCCATAGCCACGTTTGTAAATTAGTTCATTTACTGACTTCAAATTTGGGTACCTGAAGCAGGAAAAGCAGACATAAATGACCCAAGAGTAAGATCACTGTTAAATCACCTAAACTCCATCTTTCTAAACAACCAATGAAACAAAGGAAAAGGCAGACCTACCCCCATGCAATATATGGCTCCACAATCCTCAGCATGTTAATGGAGGCCTTGTTGAGCTTAACAAAGGTGCCATTGAAGATCTGGCGAAGGCGAAGAAGCTGCAGCACTTTTCGGACTTTGGGGCTCACACCATTGATACTGCAGTGAAAAGCGCCAACAGATTCATTTGGCTTTTACCAGAAATTTTTATCAGCAGAGAACCAGAAACTAACCATTATGACTTTAGACAAGTCCCACCCAGACACTGGCACTTTCATTTATTCTATAAACTACTCTCCAGCCTCCCACAAGCGCAGTGTCTGGACACATGCCTTCACCCCTTAGAACTGCCCCTCCCCCTGACATTTTCTGCCACCTCTTTTCTGTATGCTCATTAGAATATTTGCATCATTACACTTCTGAAACGCCAAGACACTGAAGCCCTCCTGTGCTCAATCAGGGCACAGGACCAGCACCAAACAACTTAAGTAGCACCACTCCCCTCTTGTTCTAGCCACCCCAACACTTGTGAGTCCAGTGTTTCAGAATCAGCACTCCCAAAAGTAATCTAAGTTATGCTGGAACGGCAAAGCCTTTCTTTTAAAACCAGAATTCAGTAAAAACCAAACTTACCCTCTGATCCTGATGACAAATGCCAACTTGGGTTCTGCAGGTACGTAGAAGTTTCCAGCTTTTCTTGCCATCCTCGCCATCCGAATTTCAGTTCTGTACATCTGCCTGTATTCCTTGTGATAGTGCTTCGCTTTCTCATAGATAAGCTTCCTCCTTGCTTTTCGAAGCTGAAAAATCAGACACGTATGACTTTTGGCTCCTAAACACAATCAGCTCCACCAGTTTCCGGTGGGGAGGGGGGAGAGTTCTTGCTTTTAAATTTTATTTCTTGCTCACCAAGCAATGACATCCCAAAAAGACAGATACTACCTCCTTTTGGGAGTACCATTCATATTAGGAAGCTAAGCAACTTCTTGATACAGCCGTTAAGGAATCAAGTCTCATTAAGAAGTGGCCAACTCATTCTCAAGTTCAAACACCGGGCTTCCTGGATGTTGAGTGTTTTTTTACTCACCATCTTTTGGGCAAACTTCTTCCTCAGGCGCTTGATCTTCAGCTCTGCGAAATTCCTCCGCTTTTTCTTCAGGGTTTCTGGCACAGCAGGAACCTTCTTCTTCTCTCTGATGTTATTAGCAAACAGAGACCATCATCAACAGCTTAAACCCTTCCGGCTCTCCGGTTACCCCGGGACCCCCATCGTACCAAGCACTCTGCTGTGTGACAGAACAATTGTCGCTGGTCACTGCGACTGTGTGAGGACAGGTTCAGAGTTTGTACTGTCTGTCTGCACGCCAGTAACTTTCACTTTTAACACAGCCCACTTCGAGGGCAATTACAAACGTGGCAATGCCTCAAACCCAATTCCAGGCATCTGTCTGTGCCTTCGGAGGGTAGTTTAAAAAAAAAAAATTAAAAGTCCAGACAAGTAAGTAGGCGCAGTGTATTGGAAAACTGCTTAAAAGACAATGACCACGAGACCCTCAGAAGAGGGCCCAGGATTCCCCAGGAATCGCTGAACCACACTTTGGCTCAAGTCTCGATCTCGAGCCCCAGACGCCGAAAGACACGCCAGACGGTAAGACCGCCCGGGCCGAGCGCCAGCCAAGAACAAATTCAAAATCCGGAGGTTCTGCACACTCTTCCAAAGCGCTTCCACAGAGGGCTGGCCCTCCACTGCCAGTTCCCCCACACATTCTGCCTTTACACCTCCTTCCCGGCACCTCCGAAACCTCCGCGCAAGGGCCGCTCGCATCCCACCCCTAGCCTGGGGTCCCCTCTGGTGTCACAGAGCGTCACAAACGGAGAGATAAATGGGCAATGGCAAGAGCTACAGTCACACAGGGAAAAAGCGAGACAAAACGCTTCTGGCTTCGGGGATGGAAAAGGATCCTGCAGAACAGAGAGACGGACTTACTCGGCACCCTCCATGGTTCCAGCCGGAAAAGAGGAAGTTAGCGCATGCGCACTGCCCACTTAAAGTCTGCGGGAGTGAAGCCCCAGAATTCATAGCTGTCCTAGTATAAGCCAGAAAAGAACCCAGAACTGAGAACCCACTTTGCAGACGCTAAATTTAGAACTGCCTGAGGCAGCCTCTTTCAGTCAACTTTCGGGTAAATTTTCTATGGCAAAAATATGTGCATTGATTAGACTTTTTAATCCATCCGAGAGCAAACAGTGCTGACACCTTGACTACCGGGGTCCTCATCCCTAGCCTGCGTTGACAGCCTTAGGCTCGTGTTCCCATAATGTACTCAAATCACACGCTTCCGGGCTGCGAACTACAAACCCCAGCATGCATCACTTCATCTTCCACAGGGCGGGGGGGGCGCCTGCCGGGGACTGTAGGCAGCCGCCGCTCTGGTGAGTCCAGCCAGGACAAGAGCCTTTGGGGACACGTCCCAAACGGCCAGCTGCGACTCGGAATCCCGTTTGGCCGCCGCCCTGCTCCTGGCAGCCGCAACCTCCGACAACCGCACCCCCAGCCGCGCCGCGAGGTCCTTCTCGTCGTTCCGCCAGCCTGCGGGGCTGTCTTCCGCAGCGCCTGATTGCAGGCGGCGACGTCCGGAGTTCCCCCTGGTTGACGAGACTGGGCAAAGCGAAAACTGGACGGCTGGAGGATGGCCGGCACTCTGCCGACCGCTGGGCCGTGGAGGCGGAGGCCAGGGCAACCCACGGCAGGGGGCGTGAGCCGCGAAGGGAGGTGAGACTGGAGTTGGCGGCTGCGGCCACGGCCATGTGAGAGGGGCTGCCCCGCGCCACTCCGCGGACGGCGGGCGGGCGGGCGGGGGGCTGGGCCGGGGGCGGGGTGCGCCCGGGGGCGGGGAGGGCCGAGCGGAGGGAGGGCCGATGCCGATGCCGCCGCCGGCTCTTCCCGGTCGCGGGTTATATAGCGCGGAGAGTGGATCCCGCTCACAGGCGGCCGGGAGCGTTCCGACTTGCGAGCTGCGCTGCGGAGCTCGGTGCCCGAGTGACAGCCGCGGGGAGTGGAGGGCTGGGGCACACGAGACCGCGGGGGCAGCTGCAAGCCGTTGGGCAGCGCTCGCCTACGCTGAGCGAGTCGCCCCTTCCCGGCTCTCCGCCGCCCCGCACCCCACTCTCCCACCCTCTCGCAACTTGCGTCAAGTTGACAACTCCTGCCGCGGCCGGCCGGCCCGTGCGATCTCCGCCGCGTACCCCTCGCCCGGGCTGAGAGGGGTTCCCTCCGGCGGCGGCGGTGGCGGCTTGGCCATGAGGGCAGCGCGCGTCGCCTAACTCGGCGGCTGTCACCGCCGCTGCAGCGGGACCGGCCGGCCGGGCGCTCCGGGACGGACGGGCGGGCGGCCGCCAGCAGGAGGCGCCGAGCCGGGCGGCTGCGGCGGCGGGCACATCCCGGGGCCACCGCGCCGATCCCGGGCGGGAGTGGCCCCGCGCAAGCAGGGAGCGGCGCCGCCGCGCGCACTCCGGCCGGGCGGGCACCTCGGGGGTGGGCGCGGGGCGCTCTGACAAGCGCCCCGGGGCGGTGAGCCGGGCTGCCCGGCGCGGGGTGGGTGCGGACGCGGGCGCTGGACTGGCGCGGGGACCTGGGCGTCGCGATGAACATCGTGGTGGAGTTCTTCGTGGTCACTTTTAAAGTGCTGTGGGCATTCGTGCTGGCCGCGGCGCGCTGGCTGGTGCGGCCCAAGGAGAAGAGCGTGGCCGGCCAGGTGTGCCTCATCACGGGCGCCGGCAGCGGCCTGGGCCGCCTGTTCGCGCTCGAGTTCGCCCGGCGCCGGGCGCTGCTGGTGCTCTGGGACATCAACACGCAGAGCAACGAGGAGACGGCCGGCATGGTGCGCCACATCTACCGCGACCTGGAGGCGGCGGACGCCGCGGCGCTGCAAGGTAACCCGGACCTGCGCCCGGCATTGTTGGGTCGAGCCTCGCCCCGCGCGCGGCGCCCGGATCCGAGGGCCCGGGACCCCGCTGTCACGGTCCGCCCGGCTCTCGAGGAAAGGAACACCCTCCACCGCGCTTGTGGAAGGGAGTGGACTGTGTCCCCTGGGAAAGGAGCACGATCGCCTCCCTGTTAGAGTGCGGGGGGGGGGGAAGCGTGCCAAAGCCAGTCCATCAGAGGTCCCGCGTCTTCGGGGTGGAGGACGACCCTGGAGTCTCCCCGCCCGCCGGGGGCCGGGAAGGCAGAGGGAACTGGGGACGGCAGGTTCGCGTCCTGGAGGAATGGCTCGGTGACCTGCATGGACGCGATGGGAAACTCGAGCGGCTTCGGGAAGTTGCTTCCAGGCTCGTCGGACGTGTGCGTGTGCGTGTGCGTGTGTGTCCGAAGCGCGGAGACTCGGACGATGTTGCGGATTTCACCCTAACTTGGGCTGCGGGGGCGGGGAATAATTACATTGTTTCACCAGCAATAAGTGCTTTAGTCTCCTTACCCTGAGCTTGATTGAGAGATGCCCTGCCTCTGAAGAGAAGGTGCTTTTAAGGATTTATAAGCCACATGGTAAATTTTTGCCATGTTTTTTGGTCACCCCAGCCTGCTTTTCTGTATAGTTTATTAACTAGCCTGAATCTGAGACTTAAAAAAAAAAAAAGATAAAGCGGAGAATAACCCATCATGAATAATGCTTCAGGAAATTTGATAATGGCTCTTGGTTTTTGACAAATTTTCATTTTCAAGGCAAACATTGAACTTTAGGGGAGAAGATTGATTTGAGTAGCACGCCTCCCCTAAATTGATCTTCTGTCACCCCACTTACTGGCACCGGCCTCTTTGGCCTAAGGTTGAAAATGTTAAGATTTTCAATTGGGTGGCAGATACGCTTTTGTGCTCTCTGCCAAAACTGGAAAGATAAGGGTATTCAGTTTCCAGGGAAGAGATTTTGGTTTTTGAAATGTTTGAGTTCTTGTGTGGTAAGATTGCATATTTCCCTGTAAACTTGATTTGTGAGGGTCCTGTTTAGGAGTGCCAGCTTCCCCCTCTAAGGACAAAACAGTGACCTCTACTTTTTTATGAGAGACTTTTTAGTTTCTTGGCTTTGGATGAATTCAGATTCTTATAATTTTGATTCGGTGAGCCTTGAGGTTAGTTTCCATTTGAAGGGTACTCATACTAAAATCAAGAACTATTTCTCAAAAGAGCGAGGGAAAGTGAGAGAGGAAGGAAGACGAGTGTGCAGTGTGTGTGTGTATTATTCTCTGGGCTGAGATCAGCTCTTTGCAGGTGTCTTTAGCTCCAGCAGGCTGATCCCATGTGGTCCACTTGTATTGGGCTTGTCACAATTACATGACTTTCCCCGAAGCAGAGCTATCCAGTAAATTGCTATAATTCCCAGAGACTTTGGAGGGACGAAGGCAGCTGGAAGTTCAGTCATTGGCAAGCGTTACGGTGTTAGAAATTTGAAGCTCATTGTAGTGTTTTTGTTGTGTGTGATCTGTGTCCTGCGGGTTACCATATAACTCACTTTCTGCACCCCCTTTTTCTATTCTTTCTTCTGAGGACAGCTGGGAATGGCGAGGAAGAAATTCTGCCCCACTGTAACTTACAGGTTTTTACCTACACCTGTGACGTGGGGAAGAGGGAGAACGTCTACCTGACGGCCGAAAGGGTCCGCAAGGAGGTTGGCGAGGTCTCAGTGCTGGTCAACAATGCCGGTGTGGTCTCTGGGCATCACCTTCTGGAATGTCCTGATGAGCTCATTGAGAGAACCATGATGGTCAACTGCCACGCACACTTCTGGGTAAATAGAACCGTCCTTTTTATTACTGGGCCCTCCTCGGTGAGAAGGAGTGAGGCTTCAATGCCAGCCTAAGAGCCACCTGCACTGTTTCAACAGTTTCCTTCTAACTAGCTATTCCCCATGGTGAATTACTGTGTACAGCAGTTATTATTAAGTAGTTGTTTTCTACATCCCCCTCCTCAATTCCGTTTTCTTGCGAGGGTTGAAGACTGAACATTTTGAGCTAGTTTGAAAGATTGCCATAAAAATAACAAGAGGGAGTATAAAACCCTGGGTTTGTTTATTTTACTTTCTGTTGAGTTTATAAAACATTTGGTTGTTCTTATGAATTCCTAAAGTCGAGGTTTAGACTTCCAAATTACTGCTCAGCCACATTTTAGAAAGTGCCAGAGATTCTGAGATCAGCATCTGTGGCCCGCTGGGAGTGGTCAGGCCACCCTGGCAGACACTGAGCATCCATTGACCATCTCCAGGGTTCCACGGCATTGTCTGGATCCGAGGTTGTCTCAGGACTGGCTTAGCGTGGAAGATGTCTCTCAAATGAGAACAGCATCTTCCTGACAGGACCATGGGGCCGGCGGCAGGGGGGGCGGGTGGATCCCGGGAGTGAGGGATTGAGGCAATGTCAGCTGGTCCTCAGAGCTAACACAGCCTCCAGGGATGGGGGGCAGGGCAGGGCAGAAGTGAACCCAGTTTTGCAGCTGAACTTAACCTTCACTAAGGGTCAGTATGAAAGTCTCCCATCTAACTGTACAGCGTTGTCAACTGTATGCTTTTATTCCTCGTCGTATTTCCCCTTTACTTTTCATGCGCAGGTAGGAGCCAGTCATGAAGGGGTAAGGAGAGAGGGTTCTTTTCCTCCATAGGCAGATTAGCCTTGTAATAGAACACAACAAAGAACTGTTTCTCCTAAATAGGTCACATTAAACCTCATTAATTTTTTAGCAACTGCTTAAAAACTTAATCTGGCTTTAGAAGTACTTATTCCAGTGTTGCTCTTTGACCATCAAACCTTTTCTCTGATCCTGGAAGAAGCTTATTTTAATGTTTTATTTCAAAACATGAGCTTTATGTAATTTCCAAATCTCTAGAAATGAACATATAAATGACTTGAGCTAACTCATATCTGTTTGAAATGAATGAGGGGATGACCACATCCACTTTGAGAGAACATAAATATGTGTATGCACATGCATGTGAGTGCGTGTTGGCTACATGCACTGGGAGGAAGAAACAATTAAAATTTTGGCAGCTGCTGGGTCCACAGGAACGGCAGCAAATAGCACAGAGGTCGGCTAGGTGAGCAGAGGCCAGGCCCACTGAATAAACTTGGCAGTACGATTCATCAGGAGTCTTGTATGTTTGTGGTTCTGAGTAGAACAAACGACTACCGTTTGAAATAAAAGGCAAACTGCAGGGGGAGTACAGAAGACTAGTAAAGATGAAGCTGCCATAGAAACTCCAGGTGATCTCACTTGACTCGTCAGCCTTAACCAGATACACAGCCGTCAGTAGTGCATTGGTTATGCACCATACACCAGGATTTTGTTTTTTTCCAGTAACCTTTGACTGAGATTTTGCAACCTTGCCTAACCATAAACTTTTACCTGTATCAGGTTCTCTGAAGTTTAGTAATCTTGCCTGCTTTCTCCTGTGATTATTTTGCTGAATTAAAAAATCTCAAATGTAACTAGATCTGAAACCCCATACAATCTGTGATTGAATATAACAAGAAAGCAGCCTATCTTCTCTAGCTATTATAAAGTAAATATCTCAGCTTTGAAAGTGCACTCAAATTAATATGCTATACTTCTAACATTAGGCTACTTTCTAAAACAAGGGGGAAATTGAATCAGATCTCTAGGAGAAAAATTGTTCTGCAACTCAATCTGTATACCAAGGAAGAACATACACCTTCCTAGAGCCCTCACTGTGCTTCAAGATGTTGCTTAACACACAATTTAGGGAGTTCTTGGAAGCCTTGACAGTAATGACGTCACTTCATATTAAAATATGGGAGGCTCCTGAATTCTCCAGCTGTTTTTCCCCTAAGCATCTAAACTTAAGAATTTATTTTCAATATTGAGTCAGAAAATTCATTTTGGGGTTGGAATTTCTGACTTTTTGCCGAGACTTACAAATCTTTTGAGAAGTTGAGATCTAGCCACTGAAGCTTAAAAGAAGGCATACCACGTAGTGCTGCTCAGAGACCCCCTGAATTCCATTTCCTTTCCAGTAGCCCTCGAGGTGAAAATGTTGGTGGTAGCTGTGCTGTTTTCCTTCTAGAAAAAAATAGAGTGTGTCTTTGACTATTTCTGGGTAGGGAAGAGAACTTGCCCCATACATTCAAAACAGTAAATCAACTGAGCACAGATTTGTCCAGTTATTTGAACAGATCATCTTAAGCAAAACTGTAAAGTAACAGTTAATGCCTTTTCATAAAATAACAGTATGTTGATCCTGACTCAGAATTAAAGTCATTTACAGTGAAATAGAAAACCATGTAGACTCTCATTGAAAAGCTGTGGGTGTTCCCACTTCCAAACCATTCTTCATGCTACTGCCTGGAACACCCTCTTCCTCCATTCTGTAGATCTATTTATTTATTTGAAAGACAGAGACAGCGCTCACATTCACATTGACTCCCCACAAATTCACAATGGCTGTTCAGGGCCTCAATCCAGGTCTTCCGCAGTTGTGGCAGGAACCCAACTACTTGAGTCATCACCTCTGCCTTCAGAGTCCACGTTGTCAGGAAGCTGAAGTCAGGAGCCTGAGCTGGAACTGGAATCAGCAGTCACACCCAGGCATTTGAGTGTGGGATATGGGCATCCCAACAGGTGCTTAACTGTTAGCCTAATAGCCCACCTCTCTATCTGCCTTTAAGGCATAGTTCAAGTTCTCAATTTAACCTTTCCTCCCTACTCCAGCCATCCTGGCATTTTTTGGGTATCAGAATAGAAGGATCCTAGAGACCATCTTGTCCAGCTCCTTGTTTTCCAGCAAATCTGCAGTTAAATGATGTGGTTATGCTTCTCTTTTTCTTTCCATTAATTTCTGGCAACGTTTGATGTCATCCCCATCCTTTGATGCCTAATGTGTGCTCTTTGGTGTTACTTTGTGTATATTGCATCCTGCATCCCAGAGTAAATAGAAGCAGTCAAGGCAGTCTGTATACTTCTGTTTGTGCCTGGAATAGAACTCTATTCTTAATTCACTCGATAAATTTTTTTTTAAATTGTATTTGAAAGAGAGAACAGGAGAGAAAGAGAGAGAGATATACTATCCACTGGTTCACTCCCCAGTTGGCCCCAATAGCCATGGCTGAGTCAGGCAGGAGCCAAGAGCTTCTTCCAGATCTCCCAGGTGGGTAACAGAGCCCAAGCACTTGGGCCATCTTCCACTGCTCTTCTCAGGCCATTAGCAAGGAGCTAGATCAGAAGTGGAGTAGCCAGCGCATGAACTGGTGCCCATATGGGATGCTGGCATTACAGGCAGTGACTTTACTTGCTATGTCACCAACGCTGGCATCGCAATAAATATTTGATAATATGTAATAGGCTCCTGCTTAAGTATTTAGGAGATAACCTATTCAGAGACCACTCACATGGCGGGTCCATGTTGCAGCATTTCAAAAGGTAAGCATTATATTGGAATAACTCAAGTTGTGTAAATTTTAAAATGGAGCTGTCTCATATTCATTATTGTTTGTAATCTTTAGTTTCCTATATAACTTTTCCATTCTTTCTGCCCCACCAGTATGCTCATTTTTACTGTAGAGTATTAATTCTGCTCATTGATGACTGCGGCTAGCAACTTTGAGAAGTCTAACATTGATATGCCAGTTTGAATCAAGCTCAAATTGAAAGTGTGGAAACCATTCATATTTCTCAATGCCCAGGCCTCAAAGAGAGGATCCTTACATCAATCCTTTGGTTCACAGTCATGTGCCATTTCTATACACTTTGGAAATGTTTATGACCCCTGGCATTATTCTATTCTACAAGCCTTCCAGTGCACTATGACACTTCACCTCCCGAGTCTCAGCAGCAACCATCCCAGGAACTTTCTTGTGGTTACCAGTCTAAAAGTGATAGACTTGGGGTAGGTTCTAATCAGCGTACTGTGCAATGAAACAGGACAAGACTATGAACCATGGGTGCTGTATCATGTACTTTAGCATCTAGGAAGCATTTGCATAGGCTTTCTTCATATCTTGGTGAGATGTGTTGAAAATTTGAAAATATCTCTCTACTCTACTTTGAAATATGGAAAGTTGGCCTCCATTGAGGAAGTATACTCGTGACTGCCCCCCCCCCCCCGAATAAAAGATAAGATTGCTTCAGTTGTTATTTTTTGAGAGGGAGTAGAATCCTAGCTTGCCATTTGGAAAAAAAAAAAAAAAAAACCCTGAAGTTTATCTGTAGATCCTTTTTGACTAGAGTTGCATGTGGCCTTTATACGTGAGTAGCAAATTGATCCCTGATTAGCCAAAAGGGGGAAGCAAAAGCATTTAACTGCAAGCCTTTTATGTTCTAAAGAAATTTTGTGTGGCAGAGGACTAAATCTGTCAAACAGCTAGTCAGTAATTTACTTCTATTGATATGGTAGTCAGACAAGATAATTGGTAGTTAATTAATAGACCACTTAACTTAAAAGGTTTCACAGTTTTAAAATACTAATTACTGAATTAGGCATTTATCTATATCCAAATGTCTAAAGTCTATTTAGTTAAAATCCATCCAGGAAAAGTAAAAGCCCACCAGCTAGATCTGAGTAATGTAGCACTTAAAGACATTAGTGCTACGGTTGTACCTAATATCTCATGAATGGTCCCTAATCATTAATGTTTAAGATCCTATGTGATTTACTGGTTTTTAATCTCACTTACTGTATTCCTCTGTTCTCTGGTTAGAGAATCTAGTTTTGTTCAAGTCCTCTTAGGTTCACAATTTTTTGAAAATCATTTATAAGCTATTATTCATATAAAACTGTTTGTC